GGGTGTCGCCGTTACCGTCAAACCCCTCGAGCTTTTATCCCGCCACCTGGAGCACGAAATGCCCGCCTGGGTTTACTCTGGGATGACAGTTGAGACGATGCCAAGAGCGCGGTCGTTCCGCAAGCTAAGCTCTGCAGATCGTTTAAGGATGCACGAGGAGGACGTAGATGCCCTCCATTTATACGTAGACTGTAACTAAACAGTGGGTAAGATTAATTGAGGACTACCCGGACTCCCGCGGGGATATTCTTTCTCGGGATAAAATTACTAGGGAGACGTGAAATTCACCGACTTACAATTAATTGTAAATTATCTCGGATAATCGCTCAGGATCAATTTTTAACGCGTATTACGCTATCGCCCAGCAAAAAGATATTTGAAAAATAATAAAAGGTATATAGGTATATAAAAAAAAAAGTAAAAGTGTGGATCTCATGATTACAACAATCTCGTTTGTCGGATAATATCCGCGATTATATAATTCAGATAATAAATATATAATTTACAACGTGTTGTATTGTATATTATGCAAATTAATTCGGTTATTAATCGTCGCTATTACTATTAACTACTACATGTCATTTGGAATTCACACAACTTAATTGATATCATTATTGGGAATATAAAAAAATTCTCGCCGGGATTAATATGAGGTGGGAGATTAATACTCGGCGCAAAATAATAAAACACCTTTTACGGACGGACAATTTTATGAGGAGAGACATCTGACTGAGCTCCTTAATCTCTGGAAAATTCAGAAATCGCGAAATAAAGATTCGAAAAAAAAAAAAGGTTCTGGTAAGCGCGCTGTAAACTAAATGAATTCATTGAGATTTTCAATCCAAGCCGGCGATTGAAAAACATCCCCCGTTCGAGATTGGGATTCGCTGGCGCGATATTAAATGGAACACTTCCATAATTGGGGCAAAACGGCAGCGGGGCGCATCTCAGCTGGCTCCGACGTGGCCGCAACGCGAAACTGACACCTTGTCAGCTGGAAACGGTTAAAATGGTGAACGCTGTTACCCGCAAAGCGCGCAGGGAGCTCTTTAATTTAACTTGCTCGCCATTAACTTAAAAAAGATATCTCTTCGGTAGCGGAGAGTGCGACCACCACGGAACGTTTCGCGGCTATAAATCATAGCGTCTAGTTCGAAAACGCATTAGACTGATCAACCACTGGCTTCTTTCTATCGGGGGGGGGGGGGGGAGAGGGGGGTTCTCGCACCGGCGAGGCTTTCAGACAAACGAGCCCTTCGGTCAATCTCATCGATATCTCTCTCACCTAACAAAGAATGGGAAGATTGAAAGTACTTTGATGCGAAGCAAAAAGGATGAGAGAAGTCACTTTT